TGTTTTGTCATTAATTGGTGCGCAACCATCGATGGTGAAAATCGTAGAAAAACAACTTTTTTTTTTACTGATGTTTACGACATCTTGAAAGTCGCATTGGAAAACTGGAGTAATTAATCTTGTGTGCCTTTCCTATAAAGGTTTATTGAGGAACGATTATAAAACAAATGTGTATTGAAGCACATTAGAACCGAATACAATCGATCTGATCAAGGAATAGATAGTGGAGATTCGAGTATGTATCGAATAAAATATATGAGATTCATCACTTCACAATATTGAAATGGGTTTGAGCGGTCGGGCTGAATCTCTTTCAGGTTGTAATGAACGACCAGAAATCAAAATGAAAAGTCTGAAATTAAGCCTTCTTCATGCTTGTGTTAAGCTTTGTGTGACCGAACTCGAATCGGAGATGAGCCATCTATGCTTGAACCGTAGATACCCGAACCGTAGATGCCCGAACCATGCTTGACCAAAGTGTAGATGCCCAAACTAGATGCTTGAAATAGAGGACAGAAGTATGTCCATCGTAGATAATGAAGATAACCGAAGCATAGATACCACACCTTGATGGAATTCTAGGATAGAAGATTTTGATGTAGGTATTTCATCGGACATATGAGATGCACTACTCATCTCTTCCCATTTTTTCTCGAATGTATGTTAGGTGCATCTCCCTTTTTTTTAACAATATAATTCGGCAAGAAAACTCCAACACATATAGACAAGGTTAGGGATGGTACATTAGTTGACTGCTTGGAGTTTTTGACGATGATAACTGGGTTCGAGTATAGAAGGTCGATTTAAGTGAAAGCGTGAACTCTTGAAGCCGGAGATGGAGTGACGCCTTCAAAACTTGTCAACATTTTAGGTCGGTAGATTCAGCTTCCAAACGTGAATTTTAGGTGACATGAAATCGAAGGCTCTATTCTTTTAAGACACGCGAATGGCGGGAATCATCAAGGCTGCCTGGTGACCGACACCATGGAGCTCGATGCTATCATCTATGGAGTTTGGCGTAATTCGGGAATGAGAGAACGCTATGGGGTTAAGTGCAATGCTTGAGGTCGCAGACCAAGTTTGAAACCAAGTACCAGATGTTGTATATATGATATGATAGTTTTAAACAATGTTAAAATTATATCTAGTGTCAAAGCTTTTTTCCAAAGAGTTCAAAGGTACATATTGAGACGTGTGATCGTTTATTTATTTTGAGAATAAAATAACAAATATTCATATAACTTCTACTGCTATAAGGTAGAACAATAAAATACAACACTACTTTTTCATTTCTAGGTTGGCGTGCCCTCTTTGTATGAAATTGATCTATATGCATATTTTATGTATTGTAACGCTCTTTTCTTCATTGATCTACCTCGGAAATTCTCAGGAGGCTGATTGAGTCGAGATCTTGTATGTGCTTCGTTGACACTAGCGATATTTGATTCCTGTTGTTACACTCATAAACGAGATCGTTAGAATCGCCCCAACGGTCAAGTTAGTGTCGATTCGAAACAAGGGCGGGTCCTTTGAGTGGAAGGAACCCAATATATATATATATATATATATATATATATATATATATAGAGAGAGAGAGAGAGAGAGAAAGAGAGAGAGAGACTTTTTGAAGTGTCTTGAGAGGTGTATATATAGTATAATCACATGTACCTTATTTCTTGGGGAAAAAGCTTAACAGCTGGACATGAGAAGGTTGAGGTGACTGATGTACTTTTCGCCTTGGGAAGGAGCAAGCCAAAAATGGCCGAAATGTCTAGAATTGGCCGAACTCCCTAGAACTAGCCAAACTATCTAGAACCGGCCAAACTGCGTAGAACCGGCCGAACTGCCTAGAACTAACCAAACCATTTCTAAAAGTTCAATAAGATATACATATCAATAGCATACAAGGCATCTTACAAATTAGTTGATTCTAGCATGCAATTTCCGAATAGATCCTTAGCCTACAATCTAGCATGCATATCTATTAACATAAATAACATACACAACATTATATGTATATTGGGAATCAGTTTCCTTTACAAATCTCGACTGATTGTATGCATTGCATTTTCCTTTTATAAACTAAATTCAAGTTAAAGGACCAAGTTCACGATCTCAAGCCAACAATCAGATGAGAATATGACTAAAGACCAAGCTCATGTTTCTAACTTAACTAATTTCTTGAAGTTCTTTTGATAAAAAAGTGTTCGTCTTTTAATTTAGAAAAATCACTTAGTCCTCAGTTTAAGTCCAGACACACGATAGAGTGTACCTGAATTTCTCAAACTAAGGCTTTAATACGAACTTGTAACATCCCAAATTTCAAACCAAAATTTTCATTTAATCCAGATTAAACATACAAGCACATTCTTGAAAACATATTATGTTATCCTTTCATTTTGAAAACAGTAGTTCAAGAGTTAATTTATGAAAACAACGAAAGTCAATACTAATACATTTTTGATGCAAATGTACAGTCATGTCGTGCCCTTCCCTCGAATAACCTGAAAAACATTTAACCTAACAACGCAAACATAAAGCTTAGTGAGTTCCCCAATATACCGCATATTCCACCATATATACAATGCATATAAACAAAGGCTCTTAGCTTCATCCGATTATAACATATCAATATGCATATCTATATTAGGACTCTACAGTTTATGACCTTTCTGGTCTCATTATCATCCCAATAGGGATTGTTTGACTCATGGTCGTTTCGGTCTTGTCAACAACCTAATGACCAGTTTTACTCACAGACTCTCTAGTCTTCTTATCAGCCCAATGACCTATTTGACGCAAGATCTTTCTTGTCTTTCATCAGCCCAACCAATCATAGAACATATAAGGAAACCTATATAGAAGACTATTGCTAATATTGAAAGATCAACTAATGAACGCATATTCATATGTAGTTAGAAAATAAGATAGATAGTTGAACATATGATCCTACTTGAGAGAAATCTGTTAGACAAGAACAACACAATAAAAACATATTAAGAGGTATGAAGCTATCGAATTTAAGCTATATACAACCCCTAAGGCATTCACTCAACAATCAACCAATACTACCAAAACCTCATCCAATCATGACACAAAATACTATCATACAATCAATCAACCATACACATCACAAAGGCTATCATAATCATCTAGAAGAGTCGTACCCTTACAATACCTATATCCTATCATACAAAGGATATATAATGCCGCATGCAGTATAGTAAGAAACTTATATGTACCAACAGAAAGAACTCAACAGCAGACTCCAAGGTGAAACAACTAGCACAACTAACCTACTACCAATATAAGACCAATCCTTAGTCAAATACTCTATTTCATCAAGGTTTGACCTGAAAGTCAATATAGTGAAAAGTCAACTAGTCAATGGTCAAAGTCAACAATCCAGGTCAAAGACACCCTACACGCCAAAAGCTAAGAGGCGCTCCATGCCCTCCAGGAGGCACACCACGCCTTATACCAAAATGTATTAACGGATGACTTTATCCATTAAGTCAGAACCCCCAAATCTCAGATCTGAAACTCCTTGATGTCTTAATGGATAAAGTTTCCAACTTTATTCATTAAGATGGTCAAAACAAGCAAGATCTAAAACCCTAATTCATAATTTGTCTAAAATATTCGTTTCTTCTACCATGGAACAAAGATAACTCTTATATGCACTCTTTACTCCACCAAAAGCTTAGATATGTACCGAAACTTCACCCTCAAGCTTTAGAGGTCTTCAAACTCCATGGAATAAACCTTAAAGGGACCAAAACTTGTTAAAAAATAACATAAACCCAACAAACTCGTAGATCTATGAATGAAAAGAGATAAATCTTAAAACTTTTGAACTTACAAAGGTCCAGAAGATTATAGACGACTGATTTCTTCAAGTACCAAGCTTCCTTGTCCAAGATTTCTTGTTTTCTTCACTCAAGAACACCAAAGGATCACCAAAAGAGCATAAAAATAGATTTAGGAGAGATGATGAGTTCTAAATAGTTAAAGAGAGGCTAGTGTTTCATTAGAGACATTCAAAGGATGGTGGAGGCTGCATATAACAAAACCTTAGAGGCCAATGCTCTTAAATAGGCCCACTTCCCATGGCCTAAGGCCTAAGCACAACCTGTAAAGGCGCTCTGTGCCTCAGGCCAAATGAATGCCTTAGTGCTTAGCTTTTTACTTCTACTTTTCCTTGTACTTTAAAACCACCAATCAAAGAATGGAAAACAAAATAGGAACTCGGGTGTTATTGGACACATATGTCACCGCCTGTTTTTACTTATAAGATAGTACCTCTTGCGTTCATAATGCATATTTATTGATTTATCTTGATGCCAAAAAGAGAGTGTATATGCATTTATTAATATCACTTTAAATAAGATAAGATATTAAAGGAACCAAGTATCAAAAACTATTGTGTGTGTTCACAAATTAGTATTAAAGAGACCAACAAAACACTTAATTAGCTACAAGTCATTATCAAGTGATACACATGTGGACGATCAAACTGCTTGTTTTGCGCCCCATGCATTTTTTTTATAGAATTATGAAGATCATGGCATAATTACTGTCCATTTATTCAGTATATGTATGCATACATCGAGTTTTGTACGAAGGCATAGTACTTTAAAAAGATATTTAACAAATCACAGTGTTTTGAGAATCAACTACCAAACCACCGTAAATTATTTTTAGTGGGATATGTTGTTTTCTTTTTTAATATTTTAAATACTTATTTAACTTGACCACCATCACCACCATTGATATTGCCTACCACTATTTTTTTTTCCAGCAACCAAGTTTTTCCAATTACCAACCCAAACATTAACACAAATCTTCAAGAACCCAAAATCAAACCTCAAACCCTAAATGCAAATAAAACCAAAATCAAATCTAACTTGAAACTACAAAATTAGTATAAAGGATCAACGGTTAATACCATCATGGTCGAACTAAAAACGGGTCCATCGAGACCAAGGAGTTAAGAATATTTAAAGAAATAGACAAGCAAACATTGGGAATGTAGGTATACCACCTGATATTACCTTGGTGCCCAAGGTATGAACTGAACAAAGAACAAGAAAAGAGCAAGAATGAGGAATTCCTTTGTGAACTCTATTGCTAGAAAAAGTTAACTTAAACTTCCTATACATTAACCTTATTTATTCTAATAAAACTAGACTCCTACTCTAACACAAAAACTGCATAAAAGGAATGTTTCCTAAAATATCCCAAAAACTAAAATTGTCCCATATTTCCTCTTGTGATAAACTGATTAATCCAAAAATACCCCCCTTAATTGGTTTGTCCACGACTATCACTTACAACTGTGTTTATCTACCATTAACCACCAACTAACACCACCACATTCACAGCCTTTGTTCACCGTCGACCTACCGGTTGCTTCACCTGCAAAACTCGTCGACAATAGTTGCTTTAACCAAAACCATGTTTACCATTTGAATATCGAGAGACACCTGATATCATCATCACCAAACCACACACAATCTTGTTGTACCTTGTTCTAGCAACCTGTTTTACCAAGGCAACAACCATTACGATTCACGACCTTTCCCGGACACCCGACCTCCACCTCGGTCACGTCTAAAGTCCTCCATACCTTTTAATTGTTCACAAAACACTTAACATGTACCATGAAATCCCATTGGATACATTCATTACCATCTCGAGTTTTCCCAGATTCACAACCTCTCCCTGGCTAGATCCAAATTTGTACTTTCATCGCCATAATGCTCGAACCGTGTTGTTTGTCCATTCCTTTCTTGTCTTGATAGCTATACCTTTGCTGATCAATCATATTCTGAGAGATTCTTCCATCACCTCGATTCAACCGTCTCCCATATGTCGCATGCATCCATATCAACTTGACTTTGATTCCCCACACCGGATAATTCGTTGGAGTCAAAACCGGAACTTGAAATGTCATCGAAGCTCCTTCTTTAACCCATGACATCTTATTCTCCTTTTGAAAACCTGGACCTAATCAAACTTGTTCCGAGATCATTTTTCCACCAAACATCAAGACAAGGTCATGCCCACCTTTACGTCTTCCGTTACCCGCAAAATGAATCGAATTAAAGCCACACGATTTGACGTCCTCCCATATGTTTATTTCGTGACTACGGTTAGTCTCTCTCTACCTTAGAATATGTTTATCAAGAAAATTTGGGGTTGTATTTGAGATACTTCAACTCGCGCTCAAAAACAATCCACACCCCCTTAAACCGAACCTGGTTCCCGCTGCATCTGCCCCACAGTGAAAGGCTATAGTTTTCTTGAAATCGACTCTCAAACCAACCACCCTACACCTTCAAGAGCCCTAGGCTCTAGGCTCTGATACCAAGTGTAGGTATACCACCTGATATTACCTTGGTGCTCAAGGTATGAACTGAACAAAGATGAAGAAAAGAACAAGAATGAGGAATTCCTTGGTGAACTTTAGTGCTGGAAAAAGTTAAATTAAATATCCTAAACACTAACCTTATTTATACTAATAAAATTAGAGTCCTAATCTAACAGAAAAATGCATAAAAGCGATGTTTCCTAAAATATCCCAAGAACTAAATTTGTTCTAGATTTCCTCTTGTGATAAACCGATTAATCGAACAGGGGGAAAATGAATTTGAGATGGAAGTTGCAAGGAAGTGGTAGTATAGCCAGAGATGGGTGGAAAATGGTTTGGGGGAAGGAGAAGATGAAGGAAGAAGAATCATGTAGAATGGCTAACCAGAAATGGAAAATACAAGGAGGCAAAAAGGGTTGTTGGAGACGGATGAAGAAATGGGTTGAAGGAGGGAGAATGTGAAGGAGAGTTGTGCGTGAGTAACGTGAGGGGAGGTAGGAGTTAATATTTTTTTTAATTAAACCTACAATTAATAAGTAAATATTTTCTAAACTACCATTAGTTGGCACACAAGCTTTTAGTAAAAAACTCTACATGCATCTATGTTTAACAAAATTTATTTTTAGATTCAACTTAAAGATAATGGATTCAAATGGGAATCAGTGTGCATCTTAGAAAATCAGACTATCTCTCTGCAACCCTACTAGCTAGCTTGTGACCGAATTAAGTGGTCAGTTATGGGTTATCATATGGGAAAATGATACAAATGCCCTACCAACTTTCTAATGTTTACTCATTTAGTCCCTAAAGTTTTTGTCGGGCTTTATGGGTCCTTAAACTAGGATATGACCTGCTCTTTTAATCCTTATCAATCTGTAATAGTCGGTTCAGTAACCTTTTAGACCAAAAAAACTCACATTGTGCCCCTATAAAGCCAAAAAAATAAGTTTGGGGATCAATTCGTACCAAAAAAACTCTTCCTTTCTTCTTTGAAAATTTCACACTCAATTCATATTAATCCTCAAACTTTTTTTTTTGGCTTTATAGGGGCACAATGTGAGTTTTTTTGGTCTAAAAGATCACTGAACCGGCTATTACAAGTTGACGGGGACTAAAAGAGCAGATCATATCCTAGTATAGGGACACATAAAGCGCGGAAAAAACTTTAAGGACTCAACAGGGAAGCCCTAGAAAGTTCGTAGGCCATTTGTGTTGTTTTCCCTACTCATATACACATAAAATATTATAAAATGATTTTACTTTGTGGAAATAGGTAACTCGATCAAATGTTAATTATTTAAAAAAAAGGAAAACTCAAGGAGTACTATTGATGACTTTCTAACATTTTTTATTGAAACAGAACATGATCCGCGGAGGCACCGATACGAGTGTTATGACAATTGATTGGGAAATGACAGAACTGATGAGAAACCCTAACGTGACGGAGAAAGCACAAAAAGAAGTGAGAGAAGAATTTAAGGGAAAGAACAAAATCACCAAGGGAGACTTACAAGACTTGGTTTACCTCAATACATTATCAAAGAAACTCTAAGGCTTCACCCTCTTGTACCTGTGTTGCTTCCAATAGAATGTATAAATCATTGTCAAATCGATGGTTATGATATACTAGTGAAAACAAAAGTGATTGTCAATGCTTTTGAATGTGCAGTTGATCCTGAATATTGGCATGATGCAGAAAGTTTCAAACCAGAGAGATTTAACTATTCTTCTGTTAATTTCATGGGTACAAACTCTGAGTTCGTCCCATTTGGATCGGGGAGGAGAAATTGTCCTCGAATTAATTTTGCTTTGATTTCCATCGAATCTGTTCTTTCTTAAATTCTATATTACTTTAATTGGCAACTTCCATCTTCTAAATCAATCCCTACAAGTATTGACATTACAGAGAGCGATGGAGGCACTGTAGTAAAGAAAATCCAATTGCTTGTAACTCCAACTCTCTATTCTTCATTTTGACGAGCAATTTAATTATGAGAACAAAAAGATCAAAGGTCTCTGAGCCTTATCTCACCTTCTATAGAAGATATGTTTTTTAAAAGGATACACATTGAATAGAAGTTACCTCATCTTCTCTCAGAAGTACTCGCAAATGGAAAAGCATGACAAATAGCGAAGTATTTTGTGTGTTGTATCAATACATGTAATATATACTTCAATTAGATTCATCCATAGTGGAAAGTTATTTACATTTTTCTTACTAATTATAGCAATTCATTAGGTTTTAACAAATAAGACCTTAGATAACTCGTAAACACACCCAACATCTCAAATTTTATTAAAAAAAAAAAGGAAAACAACAAAGTCACCGTGGCTGACAAAGTAGAACAATTGAAAAGCCAACATACCTCCAAAATGTAAATCAATACACATTTAAAACAATTCAATTTAATCTGTTTAGACACACCTTCTCATTGAATTAAGAAGAACACCAATAGACAAAACTTACACGGTGTGATTGGATGTCACCTATAACACCCGTGTTTCTGAGCAAAGCGTTAGTAGATTATGTAATAGTCTAGGTCAACCAATGTAACCCATTTTGAAATTATAAAGATGACTTATTTGAGTATTATGTGAATTTATGTGCTTTATACTTAATTATAAAAGTATAATAAGTAAAGGATAAAAATAAGCGTCAAAAATTAAAGTGTGAGATAAACCCGATATCTATACATAAAGTTGTAGTGGTCGAAACAAGGATTCCAAACATATAAAGAACGCCGAAATCCGAGTTATAACGAAGAAGTTATGATATGTCGAAGTTTCGCGATAAAACCGGCACGACACTGCGGACGTAAATAGTGAATTTACGATAGAGTAATTTTTAGCCTTAGCAATCTAAACACAAGTTGTAGTGTTCATTAAACCGAGAGCATACATAAAAAGAACGCTCAAATCTGACTTCATATGAGAAAGTTATGATTTTTCTAAGTTTCGGATCAGTACTACACATCCCGAAGTCCGAATATTAGATCGAGCGACTTTTTTCCGACACAACCTAAACGAGAATCGAAGATCTCGTTAATAGTAGCATAACGATAAAAATACAAATGGGAACTGACATCAGATGAAGAAGTTATAGATTTTTAATGGACTAATCTTGTCCCGCACTGTTAAAAAATATAACTTCAAAAATAAATTCAAAATTAGTTGACAGAGTCTAAACAAAAGTTGTAGAGTACGATCCCGACTAAACGTGGATATAAAGAACATAAAAAACGGAGCTCGTATGCAAGAGATATGAATTTTTCAATTCGAGACTCAAAATTGCGAAACTGATGCGAAATTGATGATGTGGCCGCATCTGGGCCGTCACTTGCTGATCACGGATAGCCTTCAGATTTGAATATTAGATCATGAAGTAGACTTTGAGTTAATGATGAATCTAGACTAATAATTAGTCACAAGGAATATTAGATTAAAATCAACCGGTAATGATACTAGGTTTCGTCGAAAGAAAATAAATTAATAGAAGCGAAGCGCTGTCTGAGTTCGGAATCACCACCTTCACAAGTGAGTGCATATTTACTTTCATGTTACACATAGATATGAAGTATTTTATATTAATTACGTACTATGTGTGCATATTATCTGTTTACTTGATATCTATGTTGATGAACATTTTTATACATGTTTTAAATGATATAAACTGTATATGTATTTCATATCTACAAAATATGTTGGGTAAACCATGGGTAGATGTAATAGACGATGTGTGATAAAATGATGAGAAACTTCGATATTTTAAGATGATGTAGTCATCTAGAGGAGTATAGATGACAACTACGGACTATTCTAGACAGTCTAGTGGAACGCTAGTAGGCTCGCAACCTGTAGGTGTTTATTTGAACTTAGTGTTCACCAACAATACTCCATCCCCCACATGGTTTCCTTATTTGACATAAATTGCTAAGGAACCCCCGAAGAAGTGTTGTCACCCCGATGAAAGTCCTTAGAGTAGGTCCCTTGTGTTAGATGTTTTAGGGACATAAAGTGAGGATAACGGGAACGGGTAATTGGATTTGTTTGGTTGATAAAGTAAATAAACTTATTTACTGTGGGTTGAAAACCCTATGTGCTCACCAGACTCCTAAGCCTGACCCACTCAGTTTCTTGTACAACAGGTAGTGTCACACGAGTATAAATGTGATGTTTGGATGAGATGTTACGGATTATAGGTCTGTCGATATGAATAAATGTTGTAAGGCTTATATTGTAATGTTTATGCTTTTGATTTGTATCGAACATTACATCCCGAGGTTTTTAATGAAATACGTTTCTTCGGAAATGCTTTGATAAATCTTTATCATATTTTCTTTTGGGAACAAATTCCACAACACTTTTCCTTAAAATGTTACTCTGATTTTTAAACAAGCATAAACAAAATTAGTCTTTTATGGCCATGAAACTGGGGATGTCACATCACCTTTATAGCATAATTCAGATTCTAGAAGTCCCCTTAACACTTAATTTTTGCTAGATATCACAAAGCTTCCCTCTTGATTCCTTCATATTTCCAATTTGATTTTAAAGTTAATGACATCTAAAGCATCTGATTAAATTTAAATCCCTACCGTTTAACACTTGAT